CCTTTCTCTAGTACTGGTACTGGTACTAGAGGTGGGGGACCCCTGCTATATGGCACATCTAACTCTCCAGTTGGTTTTTATAGTGGCAAATATGGTCATGGTGAGAAGAAAAAGACTGAAGGATGAATACTCAGTGTCAGCTTAGATGCTGACCTTTTTCAAGAAAGATACAATTTATAGAACATGCCACATCCCTTCTATGACAGCAGTGGTTCTTAATTGGGGGCGATGATATCCCCCAAGGGACATTTGGCAATGTCTGGAGACATTTACAGTTGTCGGAACTTGTGGTGGGGAGGGCAGGGGTGGCATCCGGTGGGGAGAGCCCAGGGATGCTGCTAAACACACAGTGCATAGGACAGCGCCTCATGACAATCCATTATCTGGCCCAAAATGTCAATCGTGCCGTGACTGAGAGGCCCTGTATTAGAACAGCAGTTCTTCATCCTGGTTACATATCAAAAACACTTGAGGAGCTTTAAAAACTACTGATACATGGGTCTTACTCCAAAATAAGGGAATCAGAATCACTTTGCTCCAGCTATCTAACATAGGACACGGTGGGGAGATCACGGCAAGGTGAAAGGTGTGGGGCTGAGAGTGGGGCTCAGGCCTTATGTTTTAAAAGCTCCCACGTGATCCTAATGTGCAGCCTATATCGAGACCTATCACACTGAACCATGAGCTGCCTGCCTGCGTCCATAATGGACCTGTCCTCCTCCCTGCCACAGAACCTACTTGGCATTTCGCTGAAACAGGTGCTCAATAAATATTTGTTGCCTGGAATAGGGGGGATAAATTAGTGATCTATCATTAGTACCCTACAAACTGCAGTGCTGGACTCATACTGACTTTCAACATTCTAGTGGTGGCTGATGGAAGTTTTTTTTTTCCTAGTCAATTATTCAGTACATCAAAAGGATACAACTTCCAGCAATCAGTCCGCAGCATACTAACATGCTTCTGTTGGAATAATGACTTCTGAAAGTGAAAGGTACAGAAACAATCTGGACAATACATTCACGCCAAAGGAAACTTACAGAATTAACTCACAATTTTTTTGGTCACCCTTCCTGGTCATATGCAGTGAGAAGAATTAGAAGTTGTACATTAAATGCAGGCCTGGAAACTTCTACTGCTATCACTCAAGGAGATATAAGAAAATAAAAAAAAAATCCAATCCAGAGCAGGAAGAAAAGCTTACTACCAGGAAACTGCTAACACTAATCAGATTTCCCTATAATCAGAATTATCTGATCAGTGACTTATTTACATCTAATTGAGTTACGGGGAATTTTCACGTCTTGATGGAAACCATAAAGTGGTAAGTGGTGAGCAAGGATCAGGTTTTTAGTATTGAAACTGGCACCTTCTGACCTACCCACCTGCCAACTGCTAAACAAGAGAGTGGTATTACCCCTGGATCCCTGGGGCTCTCGGAGGTCAGTACGGGGCCACCAGCTGGGTGTTGAGAAAGCCTGGGCCCTTTATCCAGAGCCATGGCTGACGGTGAGAATGCAAGGGTCCACAACAGAGCCCCTATCCCTGCAGCTTAATGAGTAAATGAGCCATTAGAACAGGCGAGGTGAGAGCCTTGCTAGGCACGAGCAGAGGCAATAGTGGTTTGCAGGAAGGGCACTAACACAGCCCTGGAGGAAGCAATGAGGTGGAGAAGGCTTCTCAGCAGTGGGGAAGGAGAGACAGCCCTGACAGATAAGACAGCTTCGAAGGGAGAGACTACTGCAGATAAGAGAAACAGCATGTGCAAGGGCCCAGGGGCAGCGAGAACTCCAAGAAGTTCCACTTACCAAGTGGCTCTTTAAGAGGTGAGAGGGCCTGTAATCCCAGCACTTTGGGAAGCTGAGACAGGTGGATCACTTGAGGTCAGGAGTTCAAGACCAGCCTGGCCAACATGGTGAAAAACCCTGTCTCCAACAAAAATGTAAAAAATTAGCCCGGTGTGGTGGTGTGTGCCTATAATCCCAGCTACTTGGGAGGCTGAGGCAGGAGAATCACTTGAACCCGGGAGGCAGAGGTTGTAGTGAGCCGAGGTTGTGCCATTGCACTCCAGCCTGGGTGATAGAGCGAGACCCTGTCTTGGAAAAAAAAAAAAAAAAAAGGTGGGAGGAATAGGGAGGTTGAGGCTGGAGAGGCAGCCAGGGCCAGATAGTAAAGGCCAAATAAATGTCTCAAACGAGAAGTCCATGTTTGAAGAGGTAGAAAAAAGGTGGACATCTTAGGGGAGGTGCAGAAGAAGACACTATTTTTCCTTTCTTGGTGTCCATGTGTACTTGACATTGGACAGATCCTACATTCAAAAGTCGGATCCCCCACTTCCTACTGCATGGCCTTGGCCAAGTGACTAACCTCATCGGTATTCAGGAAATAAAAAGAACATCTATTTCCCAAGGTTGCTGGGAGGATCAATGAGATAATATACACAGGGTTGAGGCCATGGGTGGAAGAATTGACGAAACCAGGAAGAATGGCTGAATTCACATTGGGGAAGGTGGAGAATTCCAGGGGGCCACTGTGAAAAGGAGAAGGAGGTAAAAGGTTTTAGCTTGTCAAAGAGTTTTTTTTTTTTTTTTTTTCTCCTGAGCTTGGAGACAAGAAGAGTAGAGAAAAAAGGGGGAGAGGGAGGGAGTACATGCACCAGGAATATAGCCACCATTTGGCATTTTCTCAAAATGCTGCAGCAGAGATTTAAAGGATTTAAATTGCTTTTCACTCATTTATGGATGTTGGCCTGAGATTTCTCTGACTCTGGGCCAAGCTGCCATGGGCCACGAGTGACACATGGAAGGCCCCATTACCTGGACCTTAATAGGCTCTTGACAAACCTTGCTGCTGCTGCTGCAAGTTTTATGGCTGTGGTTGTTTTTAAGGCTAGACTGTCACAAGGGCCCCTTTCCAGGATAAGCATTGCTCTGGGCCTCCAAATCCCTCATCCACTTGTTGGAAGCCAGGGCATCTAGAGGTCTACCTCTGCAGGGAAGGCATTAGTATGCCCCATCCCAGTTCTGGGGCCTGCATTGCAATTGCATGGGAATACCGTCCTTGCCTCACCTACACCCCAGCAGACAATGTGAGGCCTTGAGTAACGTGAATAAAAGGCAGGTGTCTGGGGGAATAAACAGTAGGTCCAGAGGTAAGCAGAGGAGCTTGCAGTCTGATAATTGCGTTCTCCAGCTTTGCTGTTTCAGCAGCGGGATGTAGCCATAGATGGGCCTGGTAAGGCTCTTATTCAATAAGACTCCTGTACATGCAAGATCAGGGGAAATGCAATTTTTAAGATAACTTTTTTGGTCAGTGCATTCCCTGGAATAGAGATTCGTTTGGTCTCAGGACACCAGACTATATTGAGTCAATTTAATTCTTATAACAGGACAATAACCGAGACTGATTTATAATGTAACTTTCTGAATATTAAAATGTTAATGAAATTGTTGTCATGAAAAATAATGGCTTGTATTTTTATTTGAACCATTCTCAAGGCCCATCCCTTCTTTTAAAATTTATTTCCACTCACATAAAGAAATTGCTTTATCATCTAATTTTAAAAAATCAGTTTCTCTCACCCATCACCCCATGGTGATTTATTTTCTCTATAGAAAATGTTAATAACTGGTCAGGGATCTAAATGTTAAACACAAGGGAAAATGAAATCTTTGAAAATGAAAATAAATGATCCATTTTTCTTCTTTCAGAGAAACTGCTATTCCTGAAAGATATAAGATGAAGGGAGAAGCAGCAGCTAATGATCTCAACTCTAAGTCCCTTGAAAGCTGCCACTGGGGGTTCATATTTTCCTTCCCACTATGCCTTGCACAGACATTCATGGAGTGCTTCTGGGTGCTGGCCCTTGCTTAAGAAATCCAAAGACCAGAGCAGACGACAGACATTTCTAGCAAATCACCGTAATAAAATGAGAACAGTGTATTTAGGAGAAAGAGGTACCAAAGGACTTCAGAGAGAAGAACGCCAAAGATAAAAGAGGGAAGGGATGGCTTCAGAGGAGGGGATATTGGAGGAGGCTATTGACTGGTGAGTAGGACCTGTCCAACTGGAGGGAGGTGTATGAAAAGACAGGCTGTATGGGGGAAGCTGAACACCACAAACTGAAAGGAGATAGAGCTGAAGACACGTGGCACCTAGAACTGATCTTCTAGTTGACAGAGTAGCATGAGAGGGTCACTTGCTATGTTACAGAAACCCTTCTGACTGCAGTGTTGAACAAAACGCAGGACATAAGGGGCCATCCTGGGAGGCCAGGTAGGAACTACTGCACAGGTCCAAGCAAGAGATGGGGAGGGCCTACACAGGGCAGTGGTGGTGTGGGTGCAGCAGGGCAGGTGCCAAGGACTCCTGGAAGGTGGGATCAGCACCACTGGATGACCTGTCACTTAGCATCAGGTTTTCAGGGAGAGAACATGGAAAGCTGTGGGCTGACAGCCAGTTGTAAAATCCATGCTAAACAGGAAAAAGCACTCTACCTCACTCCCAGAAATGTGTCAGGAACATGGAAAGAGGTGGGAGGCATTTAGTCAGGAGGAAAATGGCAAAGTGAACTGGGTAGGAAAGAGGCTGAATTGGTGTCAGAGTGTTTCAGGTCTGGAAGAAGTCTTTCCTGATAAATGGTTTTTAAGCCTCTCTTGACATACTTCTGGTGATGGGGAGCTCACTACCCATGCAGACATCCTATTCCATTGACACTCTGCAAGCATCTTGAACCACCATATTTTCCTTTGGTTCCATATATACAGCTTCCTTTGAATTTTTACTTCCAGTTGCACAATGAAACTTCCTACAAACCCACTTGATTTAGCAAGAAGACCTGGATCAGTCCTCTCATCCTGCTGATGGAACATCTTCCACTACAGCAGGGCAACAGCTAAGAAAAAGTCACAGGAAAGGGGAACCACCTGTGCAAAAACTTGGGTTTTAAGCCACTTTGGCTGCCTGAATCCCCTACCCCATCCCCTGCCCCATCCCATTACCGTGCTGTTGCAGCCAGCGAAGCAGGCAGACAGGTAGGTGATGCCATCTGCCCCACACACTGGAGTGAAGGAATCAGTTTGGCATTCACAGTTATTATTGCAGGGTGAGTAGGGGTCCAGGGCTGAGCCAGGTGCTGTGCTGGAAAAGAAAGGAAACACAGAAGCCATTAGAAACAGGTCAATTTGGAATCAGATGACCCCAGTGACAGTCTTTCGCCTCTGCTGTGATGAGTCGCATGGTACCCTGCTTATGGGATTGTTACCTGGTTCTCCCTTCCCTTTTCCTTTTCCAACCTTAACCCTCCCTGTCCAGCAAGGAGCAGCCCAGGGCCACTGCTGAGAGCTATGTGGGTTGCGCCCTGGCCAATGACGCCAGCTTAGGTGGTGGTCTGGATGGGAGCTGAGTCCACTCCAGCCCCTCTCATGAAGTGAGGAGGAAGATGCTTTTGATCACTGGTATTGATGTGTCCTCTGGGCTGGTGGCAGTTGGGACTCTGCTCAGGGCCACCTGCTCCATGATGCCTCTCCTGATTGCTATGGCCTCGGCTTACCCCCGTCCTGAACAAACACCTATGCCTGCAACGCTGAGGATTTAACTCCTTCCCTCTTTGGGCTGGTTCTTGTCTCTGCTTTATTCCTCCCCTGCAGTCAGGAAGCCTCATGATGCTTACTTGCTACACTGCTACAACCAGACTGGCTTCCATCATTATTGTCTAATTGATTCAATGTCCTGAGAAAAATAACACTAAGATGTTTTAATTTTTCCTTTGCATCATTAAAGGCACAGTTATCTAGAGCAAGCAAATTGAAAAAAGAGCAAAAGGGTAGAGTGAGTGTATTAGCTCTGGAAGACAGGAAATGTTTCTTCTTTAGTCTGATTATTTTCAGCTCTGTCTCCTAAGGTTCAGAGCACTTCATGATAAAGATGATGATGGCGACACCTGGCAATTTATGTGTCATGCACTATTCAAAGTACTGCATGGATTATTTCATTTATTCTCATTTTAACCCCATGGGCTTTAGAGAAGAAACTGAGGCACAGCCAGGTTAAGTGACTTGTCCAAAAGTACAGAACTCATAAATGGTAGAGGAGGCATTGGAACCAGGGCCATCTGACTGTAGGATATACACTTTTTTATTTTTTTATGGAAGAATAACATCATTATAGTGAGACCTTGTGCTCCTAACCACTACACTTTACTACTTGGGAGTCGAGCAATCTGCTACTTGAGACAGCTGTTATGCATAGCATGTGCAAACAGGAAGAAGCTATATCTGAACAGGAAGTGAGGGCCAGGCTGGGGTGGGGATTGGAAGGGGCAATCCCGTGGTGGTGTAAAGGGGAAGGAGAGGCATACGGTGCCTGGATTGTGCACAGACATACAGAAAGCTGCCTGTGCTCTGCTCTCCCACTCTGCCTGCTCACTCTTGTGGGTGGCAGAGAAGCCCTGGCTCCACTGCATCTTCTGGCACAAGTGTAGGAGCAGCCTGGGTGGCCTGCTTGGAAGAAGAGTCTGGCTCTGGAGAGAGAAACTGGTAACCTGAAGGCCAGCCATGCTGCAGCCTCGATGCTCCAGGCTGGATTTCCAAGGCAGCCTCAGTCCCGTGTGGAAAAGGGGACAGCTATTGACACTGGATAGCTGAAGACTCCCCATAATTCCCTCTAAGGGCAATTCTCACTGGACTCTAGTCCCAAGTCTTGGGATAAAAACTAGGAAGAAAGAAAAGTGGTCCTATGAGAACTAACTTCCTTATCTTCCTCCCTCTCTTCCCTCCACCTCCCTTTTTCTCTCCCTTTCCCCCGCTACACTTAAAAATACCTGCCATGGGCCAGCTCCTATAATTGCCATGTGAGCCTAATGACAGCTTCTGATAGTTTAAGGGATTGTTGAAATCAATTCTTTCTTCTATTTTGAGCTGAATTTTGAACTAAAATTTTTATTTTCTATCTTCACAGTTTTCCTAAAGTCAAATGCCAAAAATCGTGATGTGAGTGTGCTAGGGAGGAAATGGTTTCTCTTCTCCCCCAGGGCTTCCCCGCCTTTGAGTGGAAAGGTCTGCTCTCTCAGCCCAGAGGGTTCTACTGATTCTCCAACGTGGAGAGTAAGATGCAGAGGCAGCATTGATGCCTCTCCTCGGGTCACTAGGAACAAAGCTGGCTCCCACAACCTACTGTGGAGGGAGAGTGCTAGGGTCCCTGAGCAGGCGGGAGGGCGGCAGACACTGCCAGTACTCACTTGTTTCCATAGGGAACAGTAACCCCAGCCACAGGGCCAGTGTCGCAGCCCAGGAAGAGGAAGGAGACATAGCAAGCAGTGGAGACCAGGTTGACGAGCATGGCCATCCGAATGGCCCCCAGGGCAGACAGGCTGAGCTTCTTCACCAAAAGACCGCCCAGGAAGATACCCAGACAAGCACACGGGATTGCAGTCATCCCTGGAAGGAAGACAGAGGGGCAGGGCTGTGAACAGGGAAGGTGGGGCCAGTCCACAGATGGGAGGGTGGAAGGCCTGAGGCTGAGTCCCGTGAATGCCCAGTGACCCCACTGCAGTGTCACTGCTTCCATGGGACCCTGAAATCTTTAGGAAGGGCCTGATTTATTCCCCCAGGGAGCTCATGGAGAACTGGGAGAGACAGACATAAAGCAACTCTGTTTCATGGGTCTAAGTGCATGCACCTGTCCTGCTAAGTGGGGCACCCTCAGGAGAAACACAAGCTCAAGAGGGGACTACCAAGAGACGGAGTCAGACAGACTGGGAACACAGACATGCCTTCGGGACAGTAGATATCATGGAGCAGTGATGTGCTCTGTGTGCATTTTTGAGATGTGGGAAGGGGACCGGAGATCATTTAGGGATTTTCTCCCCGTCTTCTTAATAAGGCAAGAAGGGAGGGTTTCGCAGAAAATACGGAGGCTCTTTAACCTAAAGGTCACGGAATTCACCAGGCCAGAGAGAGAGTCTGAACCAGCTCTGCCACCCCTCAGGTAGTGGCATCAATCAATATATTTTGTAGCTCTTGGTGACTAAATGGCATATATATTTTTTTCCTTTCTCTCTCTTCTGCACAGGGCTATCTGCAAGGCAGCAGGACCATAAACCTGTTATTTCTGATTCGCAGAGAACCATGGAATTTTAGAAGGACCAAAGGGTTCCAAGCTCCTGGGTTGGTTTTGCTCTATTCTGATTCATTTCATCTAAAACTCAGCTTTCAATTGCCACATGTCATTTATCTACCATGTAGATTACGCATGGCCAGTTTTCCAGTCTAGGTTGCCTTCTTGACAATCAACAGACCTCTAGGTCAATTGACTACATTAACTAGCTGGTATGTGCTAAGGGAATGCAAATTAATTTTAATATTGGGGTGAGAAAATATAATCAGGGGGGTATAGCTCTGCAAGAAAATAGCACAAGTCATACCTAAAATGACATATAATATCTCTCTATCATCTACTGCTCTTGGAATATCTGTGCTTGGTTTTCTTCCCTTGGTATAGAAGCGATCTCATGAGCCAGCTCCTGGGTGCATCTTTATCCTTGTCCCGTGCCACACTGCCCACCCCAACCATGCCACTGTCCCTCCTTTCTCTCCCTGGGGCAGGCCAAACAGTTCCAGTTCCCCAGGCTTTGCACGTGCAGTTCCCTCTCCTGGGACACGTGCCCAATGTGTTTACTTGGCTGGCCCCTACCCTCTTCAGACAGGTTTCCCAGGCCACTCTGTAGAGATCCACGCACCCCCACCCTGAGATTCCATACTGTTTTTGTGGCTCTCCCAGCTTCCTGAAGCAGCCTCACTTATTTTTGGGTTTCTTGTTTCTTGCTCTCTCTCTCTCTCTGCTAGGATACAGCCTTCCTATGGACAAAAACCCTTTTTGTCTTGTTCAGTCCAGCCTAGATTCTCTGTGTCTAGCATGGTACCCAGCACGGAGTGGGCATCCAAGTATTATTTTCAGAATGAATGAGCTAAGGAACAGATTGGATCTGTGTGAATGGACATCAGTGACAACATGCCCACACCCAGAAAGCAAGCCTGTGTTTTGTTTCATTTCCTAGCAGAGACAGTGGGGGTGTCACCTGTCAAGGATGGTAACCATGGCAATCACAGGCTTTCACACCTTTTCTCCAAGCCCCCTCCCTCCCTGATGTGTGTGCTGTCCTTAACACTGGAGGAAGTGATCAGAACTTCCCTGAAATTCCATTCTCATTACGTTAACCTATGCAGATTGAGTCCTTTTTATCTTCACTCACAAATCAACACCACTAGCTCTTTAATCACCTGTGTTACTCTTCTCTGAGCTCTGCCCCATTTGCTGATGACTTCACAGGGGGTGAAGGGGGACCAGTGCTGATGCTCTGGAATGACTGCCTGGGTCTCATCTCCCAAGTCTGCCTTCTCTAACTGCCCACTGCCAGTCCCTCTTGCAGCCAGCCTCCAGAGTCCACACTGACTGTACTGTCGCCAAGGGCATGGCACACACAGAGGGCACCCGTGCTGCTTGCCTGGACTGCCCAGTGCAGGAGAAGGTGCCTCCTGCCAAGCACACTAACAGACAGAAATCACTGGGAGACAAAAAGGTGCAATAAGGCAGAATTGTTTGTTTGACCTTCTGCCCTGAAGACTATTGATTTGTTTGTCGATAGAAGACGAAGGCATCTGTTCTGAAACAGAACACGGCCCAAAGTTGAAGCAACTGTGCAAATGTAATCAAAATGGAAGAAAAAGCAGCAGAGGAGTCAGCAGGTGAGAGATAAACTCTTCAGGCGCCGAAGGGCTAAACCTGAGAGATCCCAGGGATAACAAAGAAGTTACAACTTTAATTATAAAGAGGTATATTTTGCCCTGTCTCTGTCAGGCAGATATTAAAGGCTGACTGCGTTTTGCGAATACCTCTTGGAGGTAAAATTTACCAAGTGGTGGGTGGTAGAGGGTTATTTGTGTAAAAGAAAAACATAAGACTTGTGGTACCCTGGGTGGTAATCTGGCCATATTGTTGTGATAGGGTTTTACATTTTATTTTATTTTTTGATTTATTTAATTTTTCAAGACGAAGTCTCGCTCTTGTTCCCCAGGCTGGAGTGCAACGGTGCGATCTCAGCTCACTGCAACTTCCACTTCCCGGGTTCAAGCGATTCTATTGCCTCAGCCTCCCGAGTAGCTGGCATTACAGGCGTGTGCCACCACGCCTAGCTAATTTTTGTATTTTTAGTAGAGACAGGTTTTCACCATGTTGGTCAGGCTGGTCTTGAACTCTTGACCTCAGGTGATCCACCCGCCTCAGCCTCCCAAAGTGTTGGGATTACAGGCATGAGCCACCATGCCAGCCCTACTTTTAAACTGAGATATGTTATGTCCTGTGAAATACACAGAGCTTAAGGGAACAGCCTGATGAACTTTTGCATCTGTACACACCCCTGTAACTACAGCTTAGATTAACCTTAGAACATTTCTAGCAGCTCAGGAGGCTCCCTGGTGCGCCTCCCAGTTAGCTTCCCCCAAGGGTAACCACTATTCTGGCCCCTATCACCTCAATTAACTATTCCTCTTTTTAATTCATCTAAATATGTGCTCTTTTGAGTCTCATGTCTTTCAACTCTGTGAGATTCAACCACATTGAGGCATGTATCAAAGTTCTTTCTTTCTCATTCTGTGTAATAGTTTGCCATAGAATATTCTATAATTTATCCATTTTACTGTTTATGGACATTTGGGTTGTTTCAAGTTTGGGTCTATTATGCATAAAACAGCTCTGGACATTATTACATATGCTACGTAAATGAGTGAACACAAACACTTATTTCTGTTGGACAGATGACCAGAAATGGAACTGATAGGTCACGGCATAGACATATGGTTAGCTTTGTTAGGCACAGCCAGAGTTTTCCAAAGTGGTGGCACCAATTTGCATTCCCACTGGCCGAGTATGAGAGTTCCAGTGGCTCCACATCCTCCCCAATACTTGGTGCTATCAGTCTGGTGGATGTTTAGCAGCATCTCACTGTGGTTCCAATGTACATTTCTCTGATGACTCATGATGGTTAGCACCTTTGTGTTTGTTTCTTGGCCATCTTGTGACATGACAGGAGATTTTAAAGGGGAAGATCAGAAAACATCACCTTCCCTTTCCTCTCAGCAGACAATCTGACTCCTATTTTACAGAGAAGATGAAGTCTGTGGAGCTGTAGCTGCCCCCATGCCTGGCCGTATCACCACACTCTCAGTAGTTTCCTCTGAGAAACTACATCACATGTCCCTCCCTCTGCTCTTTCAGGAGAACAGGTGAACTCCTCTGTAAAGGGAGTTCCGTGCAAAGTCTTCTCTGATGAAGAAGGATAAATCTTGAAAGGTTAGCAGGTTTTAATCAGTCACATAAAGTAAGAATATTCACTCTCTCTCCTGCAAATCCCCAGCTGTGGGCTCCTTTCCCTCCACTGAGAAACCTGCTCAAGTCTTTCCTGTCCCGGCAACCACATAGTCACCACTCCCTCCCTCAACTCCAACACATGCCACAGGCCATGTCCTCTCTCCTTTCTCCCCTGGCTAAGTCCCGTGCTCACTGTCTACTCCTTCCCTCTCACGGGCTGCTCTCCACACCACAGAACAGGTGCCACCACTGCCACTTCAGGAACACAGCCCTGATACAGGCTGCAAGCCATCCTCATCATTAAAGCCAACTGGGACATTGGGGCCCTCACCTTGCTTGACTGCTCACATTGCAGATGGCTGCTTTCTTCTTGGAATCATCTCACCCTTGACTTCCATGATCCACATTCTCTGCATTTCTTTTGGATGCCGTTGCTTAAATTTCTCTGCAGACTCCCCTATTTCTTCAGGTTGGGGTTTCACCTATCTTTTTCTAACTCTACACATTTTTTCCTATGTAAATTCCACTCCAGTGTCCTCAACTACCATCCATTTACTGAGGCAACTGAATCTCCACTACTACTTATAACACAGATTATCATCCCAGAGACCCCTCTTGAGCCCCCAGCTAAATACTGGACATCACTTAGATATGCTATGGGCATCTCACACTCAACAGCTTCAGGTCTGAACTAGAAACTTTGCACAGATCTGATTCTTCTTCGTTATTTCCAGTCTTTACAACTGGTACCCCAAGCTCTCCAAGCCAGAAACCTGAGAGCCGTTGTTGATTCTTCCCTCTCGTTTAACTGCTATGTCTCTGTTGCTGTTGTGTCCACTACTGATCAACATCTCCGCTGATTAACTCAACAAATGCAGCTTCCTGTCACTTGAAGTAAAGGATGATATACTGTCACAAAACGAAAAGGAAACTAAGACATGCTGCAGGACCACATTCCTTACCCTGCCTAAGCAACACTGCTTCTCATGAGTGCAAATTGTTTTTCTTTACTATGTCAACTCCGAACAATTGGCGGTAGAAACCTGTAGTCTACGATTTAAAGAACTGTAAAGCCATGCCTGACCTTGGGGAGAAGGAGTGTCATGATCCATTAGTTATGTCTGCTGTGGGCACAGGGAAGAGTAGGGGAGTGTATGGCTTCCAAGCTCTGCATGTGTTAACTATAGGTTTCATGCTGCCAAGAATATTCTTTCTTTATGTAGCTAAAACCTGCTAACCTTTCCAGATTTATCCTTCTTCATCATATCTTCCCCAAATTTCCCATTTCACACCCATCTATCAACTTACTGGCCTCTCAAATGTACATTTTATATTTTCACTCTTTATTATCATGTGCTTTTAGCAATTGCTCCAGGCAGGCAAATCTTGCTCTGAGAATACACTTTAAATTCCTTGTGCACAGAGGCCACATATATCTTGTTGCTGTAGGCCCAGAGCAGAGTGGGGTTCTTCAGCAGGGCTCAGTAAATTCTTAGTGCCGTAAACACAGGACACCCTCCCCCGACCCTCTCAGGGGGCCTGAAGACACACTCACCAAGCAGCTGGTTGGCAGAAGAAGTGGTGAGGTTAAACTGCTGCTCCAGGTACTTCCCCAAGAAGGCAGCGAAGCCAGCCACCACTGCGATCTCCATGCAGGCGGCCAGGATGATGCAGGTGAACACAGGGTTTGAGAGCAGGTGCTTAGTGACCTTTGGGATCACTGCAGGGAGAGAGAAGGCTGACATTCAGGGTCAAGGTCACACCCTGTGCTCCCATCTTATAGCCTCCTGCTCCTGAGGCCCCTTCTTGGCCTGCTCTTGTCCATTTCAGCAAACAGCATCCAGAGGCACCCAGTTGCTCAGACCAAAATCTACACCCCATAAGTCATCCATGATTGTGAAATCTCTGCCTTCAAAGCATACACTGACTTGATGCCAATTACTATCTACTAAAACAGGAGAGACTATACCAGGACTTTTCTGACAGCTCACTAGACACACTAAAAAATTTTTAAAGCAATCTCAGAAGGTGTGTGTGTGTATAAAATAAATTATAAATATCAATATATTTAAGTATATGTCAATATACCTGTTGATGGATCTATATATATACGTGTGTTAAGAAAATATACTTAACAGTTTCAAGAAAGATATGAAATTCTTGTGGTTTCCAAAATGTGTACATGCCTAATCAAACCCCTTCTTGCCATCTTCATGGCTACCTCTCTGGCAAAAGTTTTCATCAGCTCTCACTTGAAGACCACCAGAGCTACCCAACTGGGGTCTTAGTTTTCACTCTTGATCCAATATAATCATTCCCTGGGTAGCGGTCAGTGAGATCAGCTCAAATCAGTTTCCTTCTCAAAACCCTGGAATGGTCAAAATCCATATGCTGTGCCATGGCCTGAAGTCTGCCCCTCAGTGATCTGATCACACCCCCTAGCCCTTCGTCTTCCCACCCTCCAGTCAAGCCCCAGTGGCTCTTGCTATTTCTCGCTTGCACCCAGGTCCACCCCACCCAGGTCTTTGTCCTTGGGGGTCTTCCCTGTACAAGAATGCTCTTCCTGTAGATCTTTGCTGAATGTGTTCCCTTCTCCCTAGGGGGTCTATTCTTATCACCTGGTCTACCCTAGAAGAAGCCTCCCACTCAGTCCAGGTGCTCAGGGCTTCTATGAGAGCTGATGATGGGCGAAAGTGCTCTGAGGTTCATGCACCACTTTAATGACAGAGCCGGAAAGTAGGAATTGTTGAGGTCTTGTATTTCATTCTTTCTTTATTTATTTTTCTTAAAGCATGTGGTTTTGTACACCACTAAGACTTCCCCTTATATTGGTGCTTTTAAAATAGGAGATTCGTTTTTTAAAAATCCTTTGGAAACAAGCACATTATTTGGATATTCCCAGCAATCAGAATCGTTGGCATGTGGTCTTCAGCCAAGTCTCCTAAATTATGGTATGATGTATTCTGGCAGTGTGCAAGAGAGCTTTGGGGCACCAGGACAACCCTGTCATTTCAATATTTGTGCCATGATTTAATGTGTCCTTACAACAAAGCTGAAATACAGCTGATACATCTAATGTGTGGTTTCATGGCTGTTAACGGCTTAAGACACTGCTAGGTTACAAAAAGTAAGTAGATTTAAAGTTATTTAAAGAGAAGTCTTAGGTGCATAATGGTTCAGGTGGAATGCAAATAAGGCAAAAATTATAGAGGTGGTATCCCAGAAACTAGTTAGGGGAAGTCTGTGCTGCTGCGATCATAAAGTGTGGAATATCTGACATGCAGTTTACTTGTTTCCACCTATGCAAACAGAACAGATAAAACACAGAGTCCCAGAGGAAGCAGGTACTACACCACGTCTAGGAAAAACTGACCAGTGCCGTGGTGGCATGCAAAATAAACAGGTGGGCAGGGAGTCTCACACTGCATTCCAAGGTGAAGAATTAGCCAGCTGTCCTAAAGAAGCGAGCTAATTATACAGGCTCAATCTGATCTCCTAGGAGATGAAACCTCTAAATGGCCCAACTAATTAGAATAAAATAATAATAGGGGATGCATAAGTTTTTAATGTTAACAGACAAGCTCAATAAGTCAAGAACTGGCAGATATACAAAACTTAGAATTTATCATTTCTAGGAATGGTATCAAGTTTCAAGAATGAAAATCTACATAGAAGACAGGCATCTAAGGGTTCTTTGACATAACACAAAGAACTTAGTTATGCAAATGGACTGAGTCAGATGACCAAAAGCTTGGAATTGGCAAAGCCTGAGCAACCGAATTCTATGTCATAACTAGATGATAACCAGAGCTGGTGGCCTTGGCTGTTCTGTGGTGGTTCCTTGTAAAATTCCTGAAACCTTAGGAGGCAACTCTCTGATTAAATCAATGAACGAATAAAAATAACACTTTTAAAAGGGTATGAATAAGAATAAAGATAATAAGAAAACAACTTTAAGTCCATGGTATTAATACACTTATACCCTCCTTGATTTTAAGTGTACTGGCCTTTATGTGTGGGTTTTGTCTATTTTTACAGGGTTTAAAACATTTACCATCATCTGAATTTTTAGAAATATCACTTCAAATAAATGTTTAGAAGTGTTTACCTTTATAACACCTATATGTAAATGTTGGGAAATTTTCCTGTGTTAAATCCACATTATGTTTAAACTATGGTACAAATATTTAGAGGAATCCTGACTGTGAATTATTTAAATATGTGGATTGTTCAACAAATATAGATGAATTCATTGGGTTTAAACAGAGGACAGTGAGGTAAGCATTTATCTTCATGTACAGAAGCCCCTTGGATGTTAAAACTCTGTCCTCATAAATCACTACTGATGAGTGAAAGCTGATTTGCTATAGTGTGTGGCACACTGTGATGGTGTAGTGTACCCATGGCAAGAGACTTATTGGTCATGCCACAGAACAATAAGTTTCACAATGTAGTGAGAACAGTATGGATCACATCAGGTTATAACAGTGCCTCCTTGTAATGAATACATTTGAATGTCCTGGCGGTTTATATGTTTTGGCAAGTAATAACGCCATTTCTGCATCACAGTGCTCTTTTCGAATAAAGATATCTAAATTCTGGAAACATTGCCAATGTCAAATAGGCAGGTTGGGGACATTCCAGGAAAATGATCCTCTGCCATGCTTTCACTGTGGCCTTCATTTTTTTTTGTTAGGGTGCAGAATCTTCAGAGTCTAGGATTCCTGAAGAATAAAGCACCACAGCCACGCTTGATCACAAGTAAAACTGCTGCTGGGCTGATACCTCCAGCATTTGCTGATTAGCAACTTTGCTCTTTGGCTCAGAAATGACACTGATGATGATTTCAGTTTGATCACATTATCTATTTAGGTCCTGGTATCTCCCTGTCCTTGTTCAGAGTCACCATGATTTGTTTGGCGATGAGGAAGGCACTGTTCAACGAAGGCAACTCCGGTTAATGGAATACTTTTATACTTCAGCAAGCAATTTAATTATTCTGGAGATAATTCCACTTCAGTGGGAAGGATTCCTTCTCAAGATAGGAGACTGCCTGCTTTTGTCTTAATATCTAATAACTAATTTCTCCTTGAATTAGATGTGAAAAATCATTAGGTTTGAGAATGATATGACTGAATCATTTGACTTGAGGAAGCCTCAGTGGGCCTTACTTGCATGAAGAACATTCTTTTTTTTTTCCCCTCTACCAAGGCAATTTGCCTCCAGAAATGACAGTTTCCTCTTGGGTTCGCTATTTCCTTCCAGGTTCTTCCTCCCATCCCCAGTTTTTGTTGCAATCACTTGTAGTACCCTCAAAAGATGATTGCTTTTCAAAGGCTCAGCCTACCTTCCAAAACCCCAGTTTGAGAAGGGCTATTAATTAGCTTGGTCCTAGGGCCAACCCTGTGTTTCAAGCTTTTTCATTCAAATAGATTGTTAAGCCTATAAAATTCTGACTTTTTAAGGAGGTGGCAGCTAATGGGGTGACCCAGGCAAACAGAAACTGGTGAACCAAGGCCACACCAGGCCATTAAACATCTACAGACTCTCTTAGCCATGTACCCCCCACCTACCGATTTAGCCTCAGAACTTGGGAGCTGGAGGTGGGAGGTAGGCTGGCTTGAATTATGCAGCCTCACCAGCTGGAGAAACCTTTTCAACTCTCATTAGGAGCCTGGTACCGTCACCAGCAAGATGAACAAAATTGGAAAGAGCGGCAGGAGAGCGGTCTCTAGGGAAAACAGGTTTTCTACTACTAGTCTTCAAAAGAGATTCCTGTAGGATTAAGGGTTCTTGGAAACTTATAGGTCCTTCAGGATGGAGAAAGGCAGATTTTAGAGGAGTCATGAAAACTAATGTTGACAGAGCATTTCCTTTGTGCAAAAATGCAGTTCTAAATGCTTACATATCTGCTCATATCAAACCTGTGATCTTGGGACTATTAAATCCCCCATTTACAGATGAAAAAACTGAGGCAGAGAGGGGTCCCATGGTTAGAGCAGCACAGCAGAAACTCAAACTCTGGTACCTGCTGCCACGGCATGTGCTTGTAACCAGTATGCTATTCTGGTCTGGCTTCTGAGCTGCTCCTGGTTTGAAGATTAAGCATGCAGGCTACTCCTGGTAGTCAAAGGTGCAGCTTAATTCTAAGAAATACTGATAGTAATAGCAATAATAATAATAAAAAATTTCTACTTAGGTTGGGGAAAATGACCAGATCTGGCATTCGGGGATGTATCTGGGACTTAGTCCTTTTTTTTTTTTTTTTTTTTTTTTGTGGGAAGAGAACTCGGAAAGAGAGGGAGGGAGAAATATTAATAAAAGGAAGAAAGACTTATAGAGCTGAAAGAGGAGGCTTGTACTGTAGAAAAGGTTTTGCTGAATGAGGTTGTATAAAATAATGGCTAAGAACCTGGTCTAAGGAGTCAGGTAATGGGGATTTGAATTCTGGCTTCAAGGCTTTAGTAGATGTGGAAGTGACTGGAGCACAGAACTCCATCCCACAGACTGCTATAAAGATGAAATGAGACCCAAGTGTGTAAAGCATGTAGCCCAGTGTCTCCGGCACACAGGTGTGAGCTCAGTATGAATCATAATTAATATAAAAGAAGTGATTCATGGTTAAGTCAGGGAGGAAACCCTGAGGCTCCTCGTCATGTGTAGTGTTCCTTGGAGCCATGGGGATACACGGTTTGCTGCAGATGTATCTGTGTGTGCTGC